TTGCCCCTCTACTCCTTAGCCTGCTTCCTTCCTGCATCCCTCAGCCCATAGGGATGGGAGGTGGGGCAGGGGAACAGACCCCCAGACTCCCCAAGCCCAGGTCTACACAGCACATGAGGGGAGGGGAGGGAAAGCCACTATGTTGGGGGCTTTTTGACCCTCAGCAGCCCTCCCACTTTCCAGTGGCTACCACAGGAGGGAGGGAGAAGAAGTCCTTTGGGCTGGGCAAAGCCCTTTGTCCATTCAGCCCAGCATGAGGGCACCAAGGAGCCCCTGCCTTGCAGACTTCCTCCCACCCCAGCCCAGGGTCCCCCAGCCCCAGGGAGCTGAGGGGAATTCTTCCCTCCTGAAAGCCCCCGTGAGTCTCAGACAGCCTCAGGAAGCGGAGAGAAATTCTCCGGCTCTTCTGGAGCCAGTTTTGCCTGAGCTGCTGTGAGTCTGAGGCAAAATGAGTTACTGGGAACCAGAAGTTCCCTGCGTTCCCTGAAGCTGCCTCGAGCTGTCCCTGAGACTTGCAGCAGCGAGAGCAAGCAACTCTGGGGTTGGGGAGGGGAGGAATTCCCCTCAGTCCCCGGGGCTGCGCCGGGCTGGGAGACCCTGGGCTGGGGGCATGAACGATGCGTCGTGATGACGTCGACGGCAAGGGTGGGCCAAGCGGCGACCGCCTGCAGGCGGCCGCGACAGTGTCGGCAGTGAGGGGAGAGGGTAGCGGGCAGTGAGCGGGGGCTGCCTGCAGCTGCCATCCACGCTGTCGGCGGTGGCGAGCAGGGACTGCCCAATGCCACCGGCAGCCGCGTCAGCAGCGACGGGAGTGGGTAGTGACCTCCTGCAGAAGCCGGCGGCACCTTCGGCAGCGGCCAATCTCAGGAGGGCATGTACCGCCCGGAGCTTCCCCTATGCGTTTCCTATGGCTGGGGGGGTGGAAGCCCCCCAAGGTGGGAGCTCCCTGGTGCCCTCTTGCTGGGCTGCATGGGCAGGGACCCGGCTCTTCCCTGCCGTGGCAGCTACTGAAGCCATCAGCAGCTGGGAAGGGGGAGGGTGAAATTCCTCTTGGCTCTCTAGGGCTGCCTGGGCTGAGGGAAACCCCCAGAGGGGGAGGTGGCCCTGAGATTGGCCAGCACCTGGACAGGGGGCTTCCTCAACCCTCTGTAGAGAGACAGCAGGAGGTTGGGCGCATGTGCGGGAGAGCCAACTGGGGACACTTGGCTGGGCTGGCAATGGCCAGCAGGCTGGGAGATGTGCTCTAGCGCCCCCTACCTACCAGTCTGGGTAAGTACAGGCCTCCTCCTGCCTCTCCCATTGTTATTATTCTATGCTTTTGAATCAATTCCCTTAGCAGTTTTAGCTCACTGTTTCCATCCTGATCTGGTGGTCAGTACACTTTTCTGATTTAGACATGGAATTTCTACCCACAGCCTCTATTGTTATTGTATTCTTTAGTTATCAGTTAAAATACCTACCCTATTGAACTTAGGACAGTCTTTGTAGAGTGCCACTCTCCCACTGTTCTTGTTATTCCTGTACATAACAAAGCACAGAATGCTCTGTTACTTACAAGGGGCATGAGCAGCAACCAGGCAGCCTGCAGCTGGCTGTTATCTCAATCAGACAATGTTGCCTGATTGGGGAACAGGACTCAGCTGTAAGGGCTGGGCCCTGAACAACAGGGGCAGTAGTCTGCTGCCAGAAGCTGAAGGAATAGCATTTGCCTGAGCTGCTGCTCAGTACGCTGACTGATTCAGGCTGGACATAAGGAAGAACTTCTTTACTGTCCGAGCCCCCAAGGTTTGGAATAGATTGCTGCCGGAGGTGATTCAAGCACCCACTTTGAACACCTTCAAGACACATTTGGATGTTTATCTTGCTGAGATCCTATGATCCCTGCTGACTTTCTGCCCCTGGGGCAGGGGGCTGGACTCAATGATCCTTTGGGGTCCTTCCAGCCTGAATGTCTATGAAAATCTATGAAAGGGAGGAGCTACTGGGGGTGGCAGGAAGCTGCTGGTACTGCATATGACTTGAAACTGCACCCTTCTGGGTGGAGGTGGAGCTACCTGTGGTGGGGTAGTTCCCGAGAAATGCCGGGCCAGTTACCTGCCTGCTGAAAGGCAGGTAGGGGCACCCCAGCCCCCATATCCCTGGTGGGTAGTTTGATCAGGACGAGGGGAGCCCAGGCTCACTGTGAGCACCGAGGCAGGGCCCAGGTCAGTGGAGTAACCTGTGGCAGTGCCCGGTCTTGCAATGGAGCCTGTGGTTGCATTAGGGAGCTGGGAGTTAGGCTCCAGGGGGCAATGGGGCTTGGAGCCCTAGTCCCATAGTGAGGGGCTTGGAGCCTGGTGTGAGGGACTTGTAGGCCCAGAGAGAGAAGCTTGGAGCCTGGAGACAGGGCTTGGAGCCCAGGGATGGGCCTAGAGCCAAGACAAGGTTGGAGCCTGGGGATGGGGCTTGGAGCCTAGGGACAGGGCTGGTAAGCCCGGAGATGGAGCTGGGAGCCCAGAGTATATTAAGGTTATGATGAATCTGGGTGCTAGGCCATGAAAGCATGATAAGGCTGGCTGTTAGGCCATGAAAACATGATGAGGCCAGGTGTTAGGCTAAGAAACACCTGAGGAATGGGGCATGTTAAGGAGAGGCCAGAGTGTGTACAAAGGCCCTACTCATATCATTTCTGTATTGTTTATATCCTGGTATTAGAGTGTCCTATTGATTTTCCTCATTCCACCATGGATTGGTTTTATTTAAATGCCTTTGTTTCACTTGAGACCTTGGGAACTGGACTGGACCACTTTTTTCTCTGGACTGGAAGATGTTGGTTAGTTGGATTTATGTACTTGTCAAAATTGCGGTCCTGAAAGGGAGGATTTCTTTTTTCATTCCTTCACCGTCTTGGAATGCTGTTTGCCATCATTCTATTTTCTTTTCACCTTTGTAAGGATACTGGGACTTTAAGAAGTTTGTACAGAATTAATACAGGAAACCCTCACTATACGCGGGTTCGGCATTCGTGGTCTCAAATATTTGCAAATGCCAAACCTGCATTTTAAATACACTTTATACACTTACAGGAGCTCCGTGCTGGCTGCTGCCGGGCCCCCACCGCTGCTGCCGGGCTCCCACCGCCACTGCCGCACTCCCACCGGAGCTACTGGAGCCGTGCCCCCCGCAGCTGCCAGGGGCACTGTGTTCATGAATGCAGTGCCTTATTCACATATTTTGCCATTTGTGGTGGAAACAAGAACGTATCCCCCACTAATGACGAGGGTCGCCTGTAGTGTTGGTTGGAGAGAACTGGCTCTGTGCAGTTAGTCAGAAGAGACTGATGAAAATGCTGCCTACATGGTGGGGGAGCCCACCCTGCATGAGAGCCCCAGCAAGGGCTCAAAAGGTGCAGGGAAGAGAGGGTTTACCCTTCCAGTGTGGCAAGGAGCTGGGGAAACCCATGTGTCATGCAGCCCCTGCAGCATGAAACCTGTGGTCCATATGGCATGTGACCCCTGACCATTCTGAGGTTGGACAGCCCTGATATGGTATAGATTATCATTTTGTGTAATGACTCCTTTTCAGCCTTTTGCTCTGTTTGGTTTGATATCACTACTGATTTAGCTGGATGTGGTAATTGCTTTCTTTACTATGCTGAACAGACTAATATAATATCTGCAAAAGGTAACTCTTCAGTACAGGTGATCCAATATGGACCAATATATCAGTTCAGCACCCATAAAAGAAAAATTGACATTATTGGCAATTGGCTTCTTTTGGCTGTTGTAGCCAATAATGTCACCAATAAATGTTGTGTGCATGTATGCAGCCACAGCATACACGTGGCCAGAAGTACAGCCCAGCAGTGTGGAGAGCAGCATCTGGCCAATAAGTCTGTCAGAGGGAAGGGGCATGGGGGAGGGAAGGGATATGTTTGGGGCAGATCAAGGCCCCTGTGGTGAGGGAGGGAGTGGGGCTGGGGCTGGGGCAGGGGTAGGTGCTGGTGCTGGCACTGCCCGCGCAAGGCATGGCGGGGTGTGGGACGGAGCTGTGGGTGGCTCGTCCAGGGGACACAGAGGAGTGGAGGGGGCAGCTCCCCGCCACTGCGCACACCTCTGGAGAGGTATGGGGGGCATGTGCCCCCTGGAATTGTGCACAGGGTGAGGGTGGGCTCTCTGCTGCAGGCTCAGAGCCAGGGGCTGTGCTGGACTTTACCTGGCAGGGGCGCTGGGCTAGGGCTGCACTTGGGGTGGATGAGGGCAAGGTGGGGCAGGGCAGGTTAAGTGGGCAGCAGCACTGGAGCTACCAGGTGGGCTATGGCCACTCCAAAATTTGCCGTAGCCTCCCTCATAGCCACCACTCCCAACGCTGCTGCTGCCTGCCCTGCCCCAGCTGGGCAGTGCCTGCCCTTTCCTCTGCCTCTGCTCCAGCCCCACTCCCTCCACCATGGCGGCCTCCATCTGGCCCCCCACACTCCTTCCCTTCCCCATGCCCCTTTCTCCCTCACAGACATAGCCTGACACTGATCTCCAAGCTGCTGGGCTGCATATCAGCTATTGGATTGATATCAGCCAATATTGTTAGTTAATAATCAGCCATCAGTATTGGCAAAAAAAATCTTTATTGATGCACCCCTATTCTTCAGTCACTAAAAACAGATTTTGAGTTCTTCTGCTTTAGCTGCACTTCTGTAACTTGGCATAGACCCCTTGAAAATGTCCAAGGCTAGCAATACTATGATTTTTACCAAAGATGAAGGATGTGAATCTTAAATGTTACTTGTGGAAACCAAAGGTTAGCACAGGTTGAACATAGCAGGTTGACTTTCTAGGTGATCTGCAGTGTTCATTTTTATCTTGACAGTGGCTGTGTTATACTGTTTCCTACAGCAACATTTAGCATGCACAGCTCATTTAAATCTCTCTGAAAAACACATGATTATACAAAACACCGTGTTTCACTTCTTTCACTGTGGTACTATCTAGTTTCCTGTAAGTAACATTTCTTTGCTTCTTTCTCAGGCCACTGCAAGATGAACACTTCTACCTTTGATCCAGACCCAGACCTAGAGTTGATGACAACAACGTTTGACTATGACTATTCCTCACCGTGCAAAAATGAAGATGCCCAAAAGTTTGGTTCTCAGTTTCTGCCACCACTTTATTCTTTGGTGTTGCTTTTTGGCCTTGTGGGCAATGCATTAGTTGTTCTGATCCTGATAAAATACAAGAGACTGAAAAACATGACTGATATCTACCTCCTACATTTGGCCACCTCAGATTTGCTTTTTGTATTTTCTCTACCATTCTGGGCATACCAGGCAGCACATAATTGGATTTTTGGAGATGCAATGTGTAAAATTCTTTCAGGGATCTATTGCTTGGGCTTTTATAGTGGAATCTTTTTTATAATACTTTTGACAATAGATAGATACCTAGCAATTGTCCATGCAGTATTTGCTTTGAAAGCCAGGACTGTTGTCTATGGCAGCCTCACAAGCTTTGTGGTTTGGTTTGTTGCTGGATTGGCCTCTCTCCCAATGGTAATATATTATGGTGCTCAAGATTTGACCTGCAGTCTTCATTTTTCACATCATTCTCAGAGCCACTGGAATCAATTCTTAACTTTAAAGAGGATCTTCCTGGGACTTGTTGTTCCCTTGATCATTATGATCTTCTGCTACACTGAAATTATAAGGACACTACTGAGATGTAGGAATGAGAAAAAACACAAGGCAGTCAAGCTTATTTTTCTCATAATGATTGTTTATTTTCTCTTCTGGACACCATACAGCATTGTTCTTCTTCTACACATTTTTCCAAAGGCAGTTTCTCTTAATAACTGTTACAGCAGCAATCAGGTTTTGGTTGCAATCCAAGTAACAGAATCTATTGCAATGATCCACTGTTGTATTAACCCCTTGATCTATGCCTTTGCTGGAGAGAAATTTAGGAAATACCTTAATAGCTTTTTCAGAAAGCACATTTCAATTAAGTGCTCTAAGTATTGTCCAGCTCTCTATACTGATAGATGTGAACGGGCCAGTTCCACAAACACCCAGTCTACTGGGGAGCAGGAATTCTCTGCTGTTCTGTAAAATGTGTCTAAGACATAGTTATATTGACGTGTATGGAAACAGCTGGAAAAGGAAAAAAGCTGTTTGAATACTGGCTTAAAGGAGGCAATAATTTGTGTGTTGACAATATAGAAAACATGCACATACCATCATCAGTGGCAATCCCTTACAGTCAAGGATGACTGTCTTCCATGATGGCCTTATCTGTGGGTTGAAAGATGGCTGATGAGGCCAATTCAGGATTGACAAGCTCTGTTACAGGTAGGGCACATGTTTCCATGTAGGGTGGGTGGTTCTGGATTCTTGATTCTGTCTGCAGCACACTGTTTCTGCTGTTCCTGCTTATCTGTCTCCTGCTGTCACTGTAAGATTTCAAAGTAAGATGCATGTACTAATACCCACACACAATCTGCATTTGCTTATACTGATGGCTATTTGTATATTGAAAAAGTAGATGTACATACCAAGTTACTTATGTAAATAAAGACTTTTGCTGACTTTTGCTGTGATAATAGACATGCGCTCGCTTTTTGGTAAATGCCATGTGTATGCAGTCCTTAGAAAAAATTAGTCTTACACTCTGAGGGTGCTTACAGAAGTTACAGAAAGGCACCTCAATGTCGCTGAAACTTTGTGCTTTACACAAAGCGCTTTCAGTTACAGTATCATCTAAACTAATAGATGTTCAGCATTTGGTGGTGGGGGCATTACAATTTTTGTACTACAAAAAAATTCCATTTGGGAGATGGTGGCTTTTGCACTTCCTCTGACCCAGCTGCATTTGGCCATCAGCAGAGACAGGATTTTGGATTAGATGAACCACTGTCCTGGGGCACCAACCTGCCCTGGCTTACAGACAGATCCCCACTTCCCCTCACCCCCTGTCAAAACTTAAATGGCATTTTTCAAACAACAGATTAATGAACTCCCATTTTCACCAAGGCACCCAGTCTTGCAGTGGACCCAAATGTCCCTATATCACTAATGGACCTAATAACAAGGAGAACATCCTCCAAGGTCCCTTTATCTGCAACTCTACCAACATCATATATACCATCACCTGCTTACAATACCTCTCTGTTGTCTACATCAGATAGAGCAATCTCTGGGAGTGAGAATAAATGAACGTGGATCTCATATCAACTGCAGAAAGACACAAAAGCTTGTGGCAGAACACTTCAGCCTCCCTGGACACTCCATCGCTGACCTCAGAATTGCTGTTCTCAGGCAAAAAAAAATTTAAAAACCAGCTTGAATGGGAAATTGCAGAACAGGAAAAAAATCCATAGACTGGACTGTGGTTTAAACAGAGACTAAGGATTGGATTCTCTTTTGTGACCCCCTTTGTTCCTATGGGCTTGCTGCTCCTTTGCTTTTCTCTCCTAGCACTGCTTCCTTCCCCCTCCTACTTTACCTCCATCCCCCTCTCTCCCCACTCCCTTGTCTTTTGTACCTTAATTTCTCTCTCCTTCCTATAATCTGCTTTTGGCATATCCTGTTAAAACTTCTGATAAAGTGAGTATGTGTTCACAAAAGCTTGTACTCCCTGTATGTCTTATTTAGTTAGTCTATAAAAGGTGCACATCTACCCTGCCTTCTAATCCAGTACAGCAATTTATTCCTTCTTTCCTACAGTTTAATATAGGCCATAGAGCAGTGATTCTCACCAGAGTGCTGTGGGGAGCCACATCATGTTAGTGCTATTAGGTGTGCAAACATGATTTACAAGATAAACAGAGATTTCTAATAGGTATCCATAGTGTTAAAAACCTTCTGACTTGCTGTGGTCTTTCTGATATCTTTGCAAAACAAGAATTGCTTTATTATTATCCTGCACTCAAAATGAGTGAAAACTAAGAGCTGGCATTTTCTGAGGGGTGCCTTGAGTCTAAAAACGGTAAGAACCTTAGAACAAAAGGATAAGATAAGTAACTGTTACAGAAATGGCACGCACATTGTTTTCAGTTACTAAATGCATTTGGAAACAGGAAATGAAATAAAGAAATCTTTGCTCATCTAACCACTTTTTCAAATTATTTGCTGGTTCGATGACACCAGTTTTGAATTATATCTATACGGGGGAGTGAGGAAGCTGCTATTGAGTTTTCTAATTTCTTGGGTACTAGCATATACATTCTTTGTGAACACATTGAACAGCGGCCATCTGTTGGAATTTGTAATGTGATTTTTAAAGGATCATATCTTGAAAAAAATGAACAAGTTAGCATCATAAGAAATAGAATCAAGTAATGAAGCTTTGAAAGAACAATTACTTTTTTCAGAGACAATGTGCTGCATGTAGTAGCCAGTTTTTTCCTTTAATTAAAGAAACTCTCTTTGTGATATATTCTCCTCTCAAGAACAACTTGGAATTCCCCTTAAATTTAGATCTCACACACACTGCAAATATTATGCAGCATAGGTATCCTTACCCTCCTGTGTGGATATCAAAACACAACCCAGATCCTTGTAGAAAAAGCCATGCTGCAAATGTTAATCATAAAAGCAGCCCATGCTACTGGAGGTGGCTGCAGACTAAGGAGCCCATGCAATTAGAAGGAATTGCCCTTACAGTCTGGATCTTTTCAGAAGAGCTGTTTGCAACTCAGTGGGCATGTCAACATGAGACATTTATTGTGGAATAGACTAATTAGCTCTGCAGTAAACATTGCGCATCTACATATGAGGCCTTATTAGGCTGGAGTAAAGTAATTAACTCTGCAACAGGATAGTACTTGTAAATATATAAGTACTACCCTGCTGTGGAGTTTTTCATTCCAAAGCAGTGCACATGTAGGTGTTGCTCCAGCTTGCTGGGGCATGAGGATGGTTCTGTGTGGCAGCTGCCTGCCAGCTAGCCCTGCACTGAACGACCCTCATGCCCCAGCTGATGAGGAAAAGTACTGGGGCAAGCAAAAATAAAGTTAAGCCATAATAAGGAGCATAAGTAAAGGCCGAAAAACAACAGGGCCTTGAGATAAACTTAACAGGAGACAGCTGGTGAAAACACGTTTAGTCTAGTAAAACTCCAGGATGCATTGTCAGACTGCCAAGAATGTATTCAGGGGGAGGCTTCTGTGCGTCTTTTTCTCACAAGTATATAACAGAGTCTGTATCCTGCAGCTGCAGAGAATTAGCTGCCCTTGCTGCTTCTCCCGTGGCCATGAAAAAATAAAGCACTCTGTTAGCCAAGCAGTGATCCTGTTGTGATTTCCACATCACAGCAAGCCCCTCTGCATCACACTGAGCTAGGGGAGCAGTCCTGGGCTGGCAGGCCGGCCCCTAGTCTCCCTGCCAGCTGAATGTGTTGTGGTCCCAGCTGCACATGTAGACTGTGCTCAGGAGCAATAAACTCCAGTGTGATAAGTACCAGAGTTTATTGCATCACGTTAATATGCACGTGTAGATGCACCCAATGTGCTACAATAAAGGACAGCTTTTGGGCTTGTAGGAGTGACCAAGCTGTTACTTCTTAAAAAGGACCATTACTTCAATGACACAGGAACTTTATTTGGAATGTTGAAACAAACCAGGCCCCAGCTACTTTATGAGATGAATATCAAGCTATATTAAATTAAGAGTACTAGGAACATAGAAGTAGTAGAGCCCCACCTATTTAACAGCATCCTTCATATGTATTACTAACAACTCCATTGATGTACGATGACATGGTATGCTTGTTCATAGTCCCTTAAAAGGCTTGAATTCTCTGGGTTTGGGATTCTTGCTGCTTTTTTTTCTCCCAATATGGAAAAGGAAGAAGCAGCAGCTGTTCACTACAGTGTTACAATGCTGCCTGAACAAGTGGTATAAGAGAGCTTTGAGGACTAAAAATATGACACAGAAACTTTTAGTTCTAAGTCAAATCCATCCCAGTATCCTTGTCAGGGATGTCAAACATAAACCCCATGGGTTGGATCTGGCCTGAAGAGGTGAGTCATGTGGCCCGCAGGGCTTCTCTTTGACCATACAACCCACTTACAGAAATATGGCACGCTTCTTGCAATGGCTCCCAGAGGTAATGTGTGGGCAAGACTAGCACCCCTCCCTTATCAACCACCATATTTTTGGCTTTTGATTACCAGTTTACATGCAAATCAGTGGCAGTGTAGTGAGGGGGCATTAAAACCTTTATGCTGGCCACACTGAGACAGTGATTCTGGCAGCCTGGCTCCAGGGTTGTCTGACCCATGAAGAGCCCTGTAGTCCAGAACCAGCTTGTTCACTCCTTTGATTCTGACACCCCTGTCCTATATCATTAGCAGTGCCAAGCTGCTGGACTGTCTGATACAATGAAGAGCTGTTTGGCCTGTGCTAGCACTTGGTCTAGAAGACTAGCTTCTACCAATGTGTGACAACATTTTTTCTGGACACATCAAATAAACTAGGATTATCAAGAACCTTGAGTGAGGTGGTTAGCTGTATTAGCCTAGAGTCAGGCAGAAGAGAGGGCCATGTGGAATCTTATTGATTTCCTTGTTCAGAGGCATGAGCTTTCATAAGATTACAGCCACTTCATCAGGTGCTATGAATGGACTTGTCAAAAGCCTTTTCAGATTTATCTGCTTCTTATCTAAAGTCCATTAAAAATCCCCTAATGCAGAGCACTGAACCTTTTTTTTTTTTTTTTTTGTAGTAACTTTGTGAAAACTAAGGGTGCAGACAGGCAATCATTGAACTGTTCCAAAACATCCACAACTGAAAACTGATTCACAATTGTGTGAACGCTATGGGAGGGGAGTGTTTACTCTCATGCTTTGGAGGTTCCAGGGGTGGATGATCTGAGTGGGGTATTTCCACTTTCCTGCTATCCCTTTTTTACTAAACATGAGTTCAGTAAGCTTTAGTAGCCTGCAAGTGACCAGAGTCTTCAGTGTGCTTGTCTGACTCAGAAAAAGGAAGGAGGAATTGATTGGTTCCCAGGGACTGGGGGGAACACATGTTGAGAGGCTGCAGTTGCATAGAGCATGAAGATTTAGTGGATAGTTAGATAGCTTTATTGAACAGGCAGTGCAAGGGAGCTCATTAATTAAAAAGTGCCAACAAAAGGGGAAAAAAGGTAGCAGTCAAGCTCTGGCTGCATACCAGGGGCCAGTTGCAGCAGAGTGAGAGTGAATGTGGAAATGAGGAGGAGAAGTGCAGCATGGGATGTCTGGAGGACCAACCAGACCCATGTTATAGAATGTTTGGTGTCCATGCATAATACTGAAACTGTTCACAGTGAGCTGGTTCAAAGTAATACTTGATTTTCCAGATGCACTTTTGAACCACTCTAGGTGGACTTAAACTGGTATGAATCTGTTAAACATCTGTCCACTTCAGGTTTAAACTGCATTTAAACTGTCCTAAACCTTATGACTGCCTATGCCCTGAGGGTGCTCATCACTTCAGACCTCAAAATAGATGGACTGGTCATAAAGTGGATGGTTATCACCTGTTCCCTCTGCCCACTAGGACAGGACATGAAGTAACCAGTCTAGATTGCAAAAATGGAGATTAGAAAATAGAAAATTTCCTTCTCTGGAAGATTAAATGCAGGTTAGAAAATCATGTGGATGGGCTATTTTAGACATGGCTTGTCCTGCAGAGTTGGACTAGACCTCCAGAGGTCCTTTCTGGTCCTGTTTTCCTGATTCACAGGTTCAGTCCCCCCAAATCACTTAAAAATATGAGGTCACTTCCTCTGTCCCCAAGAAACCCTTTATACCAGCTGTTAGAGAAATAACTCTGTACCCTGACTCCTGACTGCCTTCCCAAGACACTAAAGGTCTTCCATTATGCTTTATGCTCAAATGTGGCATGTTTGCTTGTAGGCTTTGCTAAAGCATTGGCCAGAGTAGGTTTAACCAGCAAACCTGATTGATGCATGAGCTCCTTATGTGAGCAAAACCTGATATGTGGATAGTCCAGTCCCTACATGACTGTCAGGAAATCATCAACCTCTTTACTGAGGCATAAAAGAAAGTGGGACTGATGCTTAACATTTAGAAAATTTCTCCATCA